GTGTAAAACACCCAGAAATGTCACGGAAATTTACATGATCTACATTTTGTCCGGATACTTTTGGCAGGTGAGTGTATATGTTAAAGGTTCTATCATCTAGTTCTCCAATTTTTTGAAATCCTAATTTATCCTAATTAAATACATTACTTGAACCTTCTATTATTTTCAAGTTATTTCTAAAGTGATTCAATCATTTAAATTCCTTGTTTAAGTTTTAACCTGAGAATTAAAGGTCTGTTATATACATGTTGTCAAATTAATTTGGCTTTGACTCAATTGCATCTGACTCAATTATTTATATGTTTTTCATACATCTCAATTAATTGCATCAAAAAGTCACCTGATTGAGTAAAGTGAGCTACCATATGTTACATTTTAGAATGCTATAATATTTACTTCTCTATTGTTTGAGATATTTTTCATGAGCTAATTATTTTATTAGTAATATGTTTTCCATAAACCCATGCATATTATTATTATCATGTAATTATGTATTCTATATCAGTAACATGTCACATGATTAGTATGCATTCCCATACAAAAATGCACTTTTTCACTGGAAGTATTAGTATGTTTCCAAATGGTTTCTGATAAATTTTCTGTCAATAATTTTCTGTAGGGATGGGTAAATAAATACATTAAACAGGGAAGAGAAATTCCAAAGGGACATTTATGTTTCAAATTGGTTTTGTGATATCAGATTCAGATAGTAATAGGTACAAAAACCCATATATTGTGATTAAGTTTTTCCCAAAACATTAGTTATTTCATTAGCTCATGTCTCCTAATTAATATTGAATGTAACTTATACACGCAGCCCAAAGTATTTTGACACTGTCATAAAGGGGGTTGCACATGTAGTAAAGGGGTGTTATATACACTTATGTTTTTAATAGTGAATGCCGTAATTAATTTCTACTTTCTACCATCAAAATCACCAAACCAATTTGGGCTGCATGTATAACTACACCTAAATCAACTATTTCTTTAGCAAGACTGGCACCAGGAAATCATTTTCCTGAATATAGAGAAATAGGATTGTATGTGAGTATTGTAAATATCAAAGGCAGGAATAAGGAATAAATGCTACGACTAATGATAATTGTTTACATGTATTTTGTACTCTATGTGATGTTGCTTTATGTTTAAGCTCAAAAAGAAATTGTATTGACCATTTAGAGTCATCAACAATTATACATATGTAAACTCGATAAGTTGGTCATGTGGGGGCGAGCTCATATGGCAACTTATCAAGTAAACTGACTTATTAAGTGACTGACTTATCGAGTTTACATATGTAGCATAACTTCTAACTGCATCTAGTCCTTCAATTGTGTTACAGCCAAAATTAAACCAATAAACTGAAAGAATGAGAAATGTTCTTTTATTTTATCAGTTTACTTTCGGTATTAACATAATTTTTAAAAAAGTTATTAGAGTTCAAAGTTGGGTATTTTATAGTATTTATTAATTGTTTGTAAATTTCAGACTAGGGATGCCTGATTCTTTTATGTAATATGTGCATCTCAATAAACCATATATTTTTATTTTCATTATTTGACTGAATTTGAACTTTAAAAATGCCTCTAGCTTCAAAACAAAAAGAAAAATCAAAAATCAATCAAGAGAATTGGTTGGAAAGTTTGGCTCAAAAAAATCAAAAATATAAGTTAATTCTGGTGTTGAAATTGATTTGAATTTATTAAAAGATGTTGAGGTAAGCAATTTTCAAACATTTATGGATAATGATATGGAAGAAATTGAGCTGCAAGAAGATGAATGGGGCGATGATGAGGACAGTGGATGGGAAAATGACTTAGATTTAGAACAAGAGAAAAAATGTAGAGATAGACTGATTAGTTCAAAACTTGAATTGACTTGGACTGACAATAATGAGTTGGAAAAAAAGAAAAGAGGCTTATATATGAAAGGTAAAGTTCCAAAATCAACATTTTATGATAACGGGGCCCAAATGGCTTATTTGCAAAGGCAGCAGCTAGTGCAAATAAGATTACAACCTATTTTCCAGTTCATAATAATCCATCTTCAGAAATAAATGAAAATCTTGAGTTAATAGAAAGTTCAAATGGATCTGATGATAACACTCTAGAGATTTAAAGTTATGAACATGATAACTATATTGTGCCATGGAACAACACTTAACTGATGAAACTAATTATGCTAACAAATTGAAAGCATCTGAAAGGAAAGTTTTCACGGGTTTAGTTTGGTGTTTGGATGGAACAGAAATAGAGCCAGAAGGTGTTGATCAAAATCAAATTAAAAATGACACATCGTTTACAATCTGTTTTGGTTAAAGCTATCCATGCCTTAAAAATCCCATAAAATTAATATTTGGCTTTATAAAAAGAGCAAGAGCAAACGCAGTGAGCAAATTTATTTCAAAGAAAAATAGCAGAGAAACAAAGTGGGCCAGATGAAGCAAGCGAGCATATAGATTTAGCTCACCAAGATATTGAAAATTTTAAGAGAAGAATTAGCTATTGGACAAGTGCATGCTCAGGTAACTAGTGACTGACATAAAAGACAATTAGATGGCGAGAGTGTCCAAAGAAGAAATGAATTGTTTAATCAAATTTTGGAATTAGGGTAAAGGAAACGAAGGACTGAAACAAGTTATTGGTAGCAAATGGTTGAGCAAGAAATGACAACTAAAATAAAGATAATCTAATTCAATAACTAACTACATCAGGAAATTAATTTAGCGTAAACTTGCATAAATCTTACGATGCCGACGTAATATTGTGTAAATCTTACAGTGCCGACGTAAGTTTTACACTTTTTTATTATTAAACTTACAATTGAGGCAGGAAAAATTATTTTATATTTTCCGGATGTAAATGAAAAAAACTAGGGTTGGCTCGATGAACCGCAATTGAGTCTACCATGGTTTAATCCAAAATTTAAATCATGGAACCGATAAATTTCAACGTTTAAACCAAATTTCAGCAGTTTTTTTTATAAATGATGACAGTTATTTTTCTGGCAATAATTATCTCCCTAAATTTGAAATTAATCAATTCGACCAATTAGAAAGATATTTAGCTTTACCATCAGTCAATCGGTATCTTCAGATTCATTACTTCAAGTTAAGAACTATGATTAAGGAGCAGTGGCCATCTTTGCTTGAGAATATTCTTCCTTCTTTGTAAGGCTGATAATAATGTAACTACATATACTAGCCAGCAAAATTTCATTGTATAAAAATGGGAATGGTGATAATGGTGATGATATGTTTCCGGATCAATTAATTTCTGAACATTTTCGTAACCAGCCTACCCTCCTCATATTGAAGTTCATATTATTGTGCGATTGAACACCCAGCCACCTCATTAGTAATAGTGGATATGTATCTTTTTTATTTACGTCTGCAGTATGTAACTACGGTATAATTTTTTTTTTGACATTTCGGCAAAATTTTTATTTCATGAAATAAAGGTTCTATGTAAAATTACGTTTATCTAAGATTAATTCGGAAAATTTGAAATCATTTATCCGTATTAATATATATGTCAAATATGTCTCGCAAATCCAAAAATAACAAACGCAGAACTCAAGGCAAATACACTATGAATCCTACACAGTGTTCATAATATAAAAATAAGGATAAGTATACATATGCACCGAACTGACGAAAATTTTATAACTATCATAAATAAGAATACGGAAGATGTGAAGGCGATATTTGATTATGGTGAGGTATGTAGGTATTTAGAGGTAAATAATTTCGAATATGTATGGAATTAGATCTGACTTTTTTCAAATATTTATGTAGCTTTATTAACGGAAAAAATACAAAAAGAAGTAAATATAAAATTAAATCTATTCAAAATCTATGAGGACGATACCATTGAACTTTTTTCTATTTGTCTCTTAGATGTAGATTCTGGCGCGTGATGTAGCAGAGACACATTTACAATAATAATATTCTATAAATTCATAATAGTGTTAGATTTTTGTGTATAAGGTTTCCCATTTAATACCTCTGGTGCAATATATGGCAGTACTCCAACTATATCATTTTTGCTTGATGTTTCTTGATCAGCTGGGCTTGATAGCCCTAAATCTGCAATCATTGTCTCAGATAAATATTTAAAATATAAAATATTACCACTGTGAAGATCACCATGTATAAGTTTTTCTTGATGAAGTGTGCTTAAACCTGAGATAATATTATAAAGTTTTTTAATTTTATCATTCCATCCTGTATAATTTGATTTTAAATATTTTTTAAAATCTCCTTCAGCTGCATATCTCATTACAAAAACATATTCTTTTGTATTTGGATCTTGTGAAATGCCATAAATATTAACAATACCCTTGTGATAAGGTCCTATAAATTTAATGTGGTTTTTAAGCTTTATGAAAATCAATAAAAAATTAATATATTATTTAAAAACCATTAATTAATTGTTAATTAATTATCAAATTATTTACCTCCTTTAAAAACTTATCAGAAGTGTTTTGAGAGTTTTTAAACTTTTTTAATGCTACATCACCATTATTACGATAATATCTTTTATTATTACTAATATATCTAGGACCATTTAACCAATTATAAAAATATACAAGTTTTTATCAAATAGATATTAGAAGCAAATTTTTATTCATGTTATCTAATAATAGCCATTAATTTAACAATAATTATAGAACAACCATTATGAAATAGATATATACATATTATACAAAATTATTATTATCCACGAAATAGATATATATATTATACAAAATTATCAATTGTTTGTTTCTTTCCTATTTATCAAATAATAAATAAATCATATTATACGGATGTAAGTAATAAAATCATATGCATATTTCATAATCACATTATTGTTGAATTGTTATATTTCCATACAATTTCTGGTATAAGTGGGTCATCAGGATTTGGATCAGCCATCAAGATGCTTAAAGATGTTAGTGTAGTAGAAATGTTTAATGAAGGTTTCCATGACCCCTTAGATATATGTTTGCGTGAAGAAAGGTAAAACAAATAAATAGTTAATTAATTTATTTGTTTATTCACATGGCGATGTTCAAATGGAAGAGACCACCTACTTTAGGAGGCATTGTTAAAATATCAAGACAAATTCTACCAACATCATCAATATTTGGATGATAAATTGGTGTCAAGAATTGCATTCTGGGTGGTTCTAAAGGATATCTAAAATGTAATAAAACGTGAATTAAATAAATAATGGCCGCACGTTGATAAATATTATCGATCAGTTATTAATCATTTAGTTACCTTGGAGGAATAACAACGTCTACTTTGAATATACCTTCTTCATATGGTGTATCCTTTGGGCCTTTTATTCCTTTTTAGATGAGACAAGTTATTTTATGAAACAAATTCAATTTCATCAAAAAATCATGCAAGTAAACAGATAGAGATAACATACGTGCACAGAAATGCATTAAACTATCATCAACAGGATAACATATAATGCCTGGAGGTGGATCACGCTCCAATATTTCTGATTTTTTTTTTGAACATTTTAGTTAGTGCATGTAATTTTTATTAATAAACACAGTTTAGACATTATAATTTATTTTTCAAAGATAATAATACAAACCCAATTCGCGTTTCAAACGAGGAAGAAGGGTACTTGAACACATCTTTTCAGATAGTGTAGATAGATATAAAAATATAAGAATGACAAAGATATAAAGTATTTGTTTTTGTTTAAAAAAAAATAAAATAAAAATCGAATTTTATAAGATCGCGTCTAAACTATAGATTTAAAATTTACCTAAAAAGTAAATCT